CAGGTAAAACCAGCTCCAGCCACACAGCCCTGCTGGCCCAGCTGGGGGCTCTCACATTTGTGATCCTGTTGAATGATTAAGCAAAAAAGGGATGGCACACACTATTCATTTTCTCCACATTGTCTTAAAGGAGGCAGCTCAGACTAAATCAAGAAAATAAAGCTAATTTATAAAAAGGAAAAAGAAGAGAGCAAGACATGCCATGGAACTCTAAGTGCAGGCTAGACACATGCAGTGTGACAGGATCAGAAAGATTAAGCTCTGAAGTGATGAGCACAGCTCAGCTGTAAGGACAGAAAAAGCCACAAGTTGAGCCATTTCCCTTGGTAGGGAAGGAAGCAGAAAAAACCTATCCCCAAAAAAGCAATTAAGGCAATTCCCTGAAGCTGACAGAGCACACATCCTTAGCGCATGAGGAAGGAAGTTTCTCCAGTAATGAAGAATTAGGACAATGAAGCAACTTTGGCCATCAGTTCCACCCATAATTCCTAGGCATCATCCCACAAAGTGATCAGCCACAAGGGCCTTTGGTGTTGTTACAACAATCTGCTTGTTCCTTGCCTGAGGTCCCACTTCTGTCATTGTTGAAACTCTGAACACTGCTTCGTAATTTCCCCGTTGAGGGAAAAGACAGCATTACAGATGTTTCTATAAAAAGTTTGTGCAGTATCTTCCAATGGACTCTGAAGTTTTTATTTACTTGCCAGCAGATATATCCTTCCTAGTTTTAGATTACAGGAGGGAAAGAAAGCAGTGATTGTTGGCTGTGTGTAGCCATAATCTGGCTAGTCCAAAAACCGGACAGGGAAACCCAGCTGAAAGATGGTTTACTCATTCAAGGAAGCCTCGTCAGCATCCTGAGGCAACAGTGCCTTGAACCAAATCATTAGCTTAATATTCTAAGTGCTCAATTACCATTTAAATCGATTTCAGCTGCCAGACTCAGCCAAAGCACAGCCAGCTCGATGCAGACAGGATCTGAACCATGAGGGAAAGGAAGCACTGCAGGGCTGATGGAGTCATAAATTCTGTATTATTAAAGCTTATTCCCCTTCACTTGGAGGAGCACCCTACAGCATAGCAGCAAGGTGCCAGATGATGCCACCAAGCAATGGCTTAAAGCCAGCTATGCCCCCAATAGCAAGGTGGGCAGTCCCCCAGAGCAGGGGGAGTTTGGTTATGATTTCAGAAGGGGGTGGCCAGCAGTGCCTCTGTCCAGGCACTCGGAAAGCTATGATCACAAGGGCTTGGTCGCCTACAAGGCAGGTGGCAGAGATCACTTTGAAAGCACCTCTTGTGCTGATCTGACCTCACAGTTAGCAAAGTGAATCCTCTCAGTAGCTGAGGAGCATTGAGACTCAGTGTAGAAAAGTTGTGAAGCCCACACCAGCTCCCTATTGCCACCAAACACCAGGTCCTAGATGCTTGCTTCAGCTTCATGACTGGAATCTGACTAGCATGAAACGAACCAAGAAAGATTCTCAGCAAGGGGAGAGGGCAAGATCTTACTCCAGGAGTCTGCAGCTTTCTCTAGCCAGCAAGGGGGTTGTGAGGTGGGGGACACAATGACCTCTTTGGGGAGAAACATACTCCAACTGGTTTTATAAGCCACATCAGGATTAGCAGATATCTCAAGGGTTAATTAGTTCACCATGCACAGATGGGAGCTGGTAGGGTTTGCAGAATGGATTAACCTAATCTCTGGCTCGTAATGTACCATACAAATATCCATTCCTAGACTTGCAGCATTTCTACCCTTATTTTGATTTGAGGACAGAAAAACCACACAATTGATGCCAGCATAGAAGTAATGCCTAATTTGAGTGACAAATGAGTAGCCGTTTACTTGGCTAATACAATTGACAAATTGGAGCTTGAAAAGTAATTCCATTCCATTTTGCTGTAGAGGGTCTTTGGGTGGACCAAGAAAAGACATTTGTTACAAATGTACAGAATATGCCCATGGTAGCCACTCCTCACAGTTGCACTGAGGGCTCTCCAGCACTGACAGATGGTCATAGAGCAACAATTCAATTGCCTGGAAACATGAAAGCAGCTTTCTGCGCAGATCTGCAGCATGTCAAAAAAAGTCCCCCAAGTCCAAGGTATGTGGGGCATTTCAGGCCACAGCAAACACCTGTGCCTTCACAGAGCCTCAGTGAAGCCAGGCCTCTGAGCTGGCTGCAGGTTAGAGAATTTATAATTAGATCACATCCAAGCAAAGAGCTGTATGTTTACACAGCCCTTTGCACAAGAGGAAGCCTGGCTCAGGGCTGGCAAGCAGAGATGCCCCAGATCGGCACAAGACTCCCTTTTGTTTAGCTAAGGACGTGCCACGCTATTGCATTTGGTTCAGAAGGTCTCAAATGTTTACAACCAGCATCAACTGCAGCAGTAAATGTTTCCATAACTCCTGTTACACTCTGAACTCATCCAGCTTCTCCCAGCTCTAAGGGGTGAGCAGAGGACTAGCTAGACACTCACTCTGGCAAGGCAGAGGTCAGGGTAGAGGGGACATTGGCTGTCTGAGGCGTTCTCCAAATGTTTCTGCAATCGGCCATGCCTGCACATGCCTGAGACACAGCAGCTGTGGGATTCCTGCTGGACAGTGTGGGACAGCTGTGCTCACACCCAACAGCCTCCTCCCAGCACATCTTTGGTTAAGACAACAAGATGCTCATAAGGTCTCATTCGTTGGGAAGTGCTTGCATTTAAAAATGCCTATTTGTCTGTTGTTTAAAGATGCAGTAGTTCTATGATCTGCACCTGTGGAAGAAACTGCGTTTCAAACCTATTAATTATCTTAAAGGACCATCACAGCAATCCTGAAAATCTATGCTTATTTACCCCATCCCTTTTTCAACTGTCATAAAGCTGGTCTTTGTTACAGGCTGTAACTGGTGACTCCCTTGGCATATTCTTGGCATATTCCTTTGCTCATTGCATGCACACTCCCACAACATCAAGCTCCAAACAGAAGGAAGCATTCCTCTGCCGTTCTAAAATCAAGCAAGAAGATGGCCAAGAACAGAGTCCCTTTATGCAGCTCAATTTGTTCACAGTGCTGCTTCACATTCCTCTTTGTATGGGTAAGTGGAGAAAGAGCATCCCTCAGCTCCACTGTTTCCAAGCCCTGGCTTCACAAACAGCCCAGTACCAAAAAGTTCTGAAGAAATCCTGAAAGGAGATCTGGCAGCATGAGGAGCTGGGACAGCCAAAGGAGGGAGCCCAACCTGAGTGTCCCTCGCAGGGATGAATGACCATGTCACTTGGGGTTCTCAGGGCAGGGTGCCAAAGAGTCCAGCAGGGGAGAGCATCCACAAATGGTATCTCAGCTACACTGACTCAATTGCTTTTCTCATGATGTCATGGCAGATCAGCTCCAACTTGCCCCTAAGAGCCACAGGAATGGAGAGACAGCACTTTCCTTCCACTCCCAAAGCAGCTCCTCACATCTCTTGCGCATGAATTGCAATACTCTTTCATGTAAACTGGTGCACTGAGCCCAGATCTCTCGGTGTCTCCTAATGCTGCTCCAGGTCAGTGCTAAATCAGGTTGCCCCAGAGACTTCAGCAGCGTTTTTCAAAAATTTTTACATGGCCCAAAATCCCCCAGTACTCAGGATGTGGCACTGGGCCAGGAACTCCCACAGTCAGCTCTGCCTTCTACCAAGTCACTTGGACCTCTTAATTTATGGTCAGCTCCTCTAGAGAAGGTGCTGCTGACAATTTAATTCACAGGCTGTTGTGAACAAACACTTTCCTTAATATTACATTTAAGAAGTCCTAGAAGTGTAACCCAGACAGAAGCTTTGCAGGCAATTAAGAAGACCAAGCATGCCCTAATTTATTTGTGGGCCCAGCACCTTGTACCATGCTTGCTTCTTCATTACCACACCCCACCTCAGGGAAATTCAAGGAAAGGTACCAAAAGTATTGGCCTGCAAAGGCAGCTGCCAATTGATACACAGGTCACTGGGGTTAAGCAACAGCTCCTCTTTAGTGCATTACTTAGCTTATTACAGGATGGCAGCTTAAAAGCCCTCATAATTAACCAACAAATCAATCTAGGCAGTGATATTCATTGAAGTCCAGTATGTTGCATTCATTTTCCCTTCCCTCTCAGAGACTAAGCCACTGTAATGTTCCTTTATAATCTTAAAAAGCAGGAAGAAAAAAAAATCTTCCCCTCCCTGCACATAGGCCAGAGTTTTCCAGGAGTCAGTATTGGTTTTAAAGGGTTCCCTCTGGATGCCCTGAACACAATTTGAAGCATCCAAGGTTCTAAACAAAGTCAATGAGAGTTGCAGGTGCTCAATGCTGCTTAGGGGGAAAAAAATAAAAAAATAAAAAAAAATAGAAAGCCCTGACACATCCAGCTCAGAGCAGCCAAACCCAGAGGCCCATAATTACACACCCCTATTGAGAACACATCTGTAAAAATCACTAAGAGCTACACGGGGAGGGGAAAAATTTGATCTATATCGTTTCAAATCAGGGTTTTATAGGACATTTCAACCCAGGATTTTAAGAATAAAACACTGAGCTACAGCCTTTGAGGCAACCCAAACCCAGACACAAGCACTGAGAACATTTTGCATCAGAAGCCTCACCAGAGTCTTTTGGAAAGGCATGATAAAAGATTCAAACCAGCACAGAAAAATATCCAGAAAAGAACCCCAACTCTGACTCTGCATTTTGACCATTTGCAATGAAAGTGAAAGAAATGTAACGTAATTATCATCTCACATTGGACTCAGAGCTGTATAAATACAGTCAGAGAAGAGCAGTCATTTTAACTGAAATACTATATAAAGTGAGTGGGTTTCTTCTATCCAGTGCCAAGGAAAGAAACTGAAGCTTATCTCCAGCAGGATTCAGCAATAAAAAGTTAAACTGCTGCACAATTTAATGCCACACAAGATAAACAGAAGGGGAAAAGCAGGGGGTAAGGTCCTCTCTAGAATCATGCAGTACATAAAAAAAGCCTGGTGTCTTACCTGATTTTCTCTTCGAAGATCCATAATCCCTGAAAAAAAGACAACAACAAATAGACATGGTTAGAGCTGGGAACGGTGGTGAGAGAATGGGTGCCTCCCAAATTTCCACCCATATGCTCAAGGGCTCGTGCTGCGCCCTCCCTCCCTTAAAGCGGAGGTGAGGGCGGCCGGGCACGGCCGGGCGGGGGCCGGGGGCGTCCCGGGCAGCCCCGGCCCATCAGCAGCACCAGCTGGGGCTGCTGCAGCACCGGGGGCTCGGCAGCATGTGACCAGCCAGGCAGAGCGAACCATCCACAGCCAGCAAGGCAGGGGAGAGGGGTGTCATTTTTTTTCCCCTTAAACTGTGCTATTAAATGCACAGCTACTGGATTAACCCTTAACGTCCCTCCGGAGAGGAACGGGAATATGAACTGTTTGCTGCAGGGATGCGGCTGCTCCAGGCTGAGCTGGCGTGGCTGGCAGTAGCGAGGCTAATTAATTTGTGAATAACCCCCAGTCCTCTCCTAGTTATCTCTGACAAGCACTTGGAAAACACAAGGAAAAAAACCAAAAAACCAAACAAATCCAAAACTTTGTCCTTTCTTTTTTCTTGCAGTATAGAACACGCACCCTTACTTTTCCATAGTGATTTAAAGGGTGCTGGTACCTCTTCTCATGTGGAACAGCTGAAACCCCAGACAGCTGCTATGGGAGGGGAAGAAATTACAGAAGGGAGCTGCAAGAACTGATTCGGGATAAGCAAAACTGAGAACAAAAATACTTGCCTTATGGCTGTGCTTCCCCCCGGTGCTCTCCGGAGCATGTCATACCCAGCCCTGGCATGGTCTGCACAGGAGGGAGCCCGGCAGGGACAGCCTGGGCAGGGGCAGCATCACCCTGCAGGAACAGTGCACCCCACACATGGCAGTGGTGATGTTGGTAAAATCACCCATGGCAGGTTCTTTTGGCAGGAATCCCACCAGAGGGGCAGGCAGTAGCCTCTGCCTTTCGGGGGGCTGGGCTGTCAAAAGTGGGGTTTTGTCTCCTGCACCTTGATCCATCCTCCAGAGGGATTATCCCAAACTGTTTTTTTAAAAAGGGTTTGGAGGCTCAGCTGAAGAAACAAGACATGTCTTGAGGCAGACTTATGTCTACCTGTAAGTTCTGTTTCTCCCAGAATTTTGTGTGCACCCCATGCCTTACATGTCTAGGATTTGCTTCCAGCAACCAATGACTGGGAACTTTTTGCACCCTCTTTGAATTGTAATTTCCACTTCAATTAAATGGTTATTTTCTCAGCCATATCTGCAGCTGTATTTGATGTGATGATGCTACTGCTCATGAATAAGTTGCTTCTTCTACAGAGTGATATCATATGCAAACATAATTCCTGATATATGGTGCCTGAAACAGAAATCCCCCAGAGCAAGCCAGGGATGGTACAGTCCCCAAAATGTAGTCCTCTATCCCAGCTTGGCTCCCATGCCAGTCTGGAGCTTTTTGGAGCTGTCAATACAGCTCTCCTGGCATGCAGAACTCAATTCACATGATTAGAAATGAGGTAATGATTGATTGACATAGTTAATTAGAAGAAATTTGTCATTATAAAATAGTTATTTGCATCACTACAACCACCCAATTCACAAGGCTTAATGAAAAAAAAAAACAGTCAACCTGTGGGGCTAGTTTTCCTCCTTTCATTTGTCTTTCTGTGAGTTTGAAAGTCAACTTTAATTGGGTTCTGATTTTGGAGTTCCTGAAAAAACCCGGGTACCCCATGTCTCCCTGTCTTGTTACTTTTTTGTACACCCACATTTCACTCATTTAGTCAGAGGAAAGCAGTATCAAATAAAACGAATCTTGAAATGAAAGCTTCATCTCCACAGTGAAACTCTGAAATCCAAAACTTGTTCTTCCCAACAAGGACAGAAAAAAATAAAAAAATAGAAAGCAAAGGAGATACAGCAAATAATCTCTCTGGCTGTGTAAAGTGCTCTCTGTGTACATATTCCTCACCTCTTTTCTGCTAATGAAGAAAGCCTGTGTTGGTGCTTTGCAATAGCAGCAGCAGCAAGGAGCCCTGCCCGACTCCATGTTTAATGTTTTGATGTCTTGTAATTCTGCATATGATTCATTGATGTATCTTCCCTCTCCCAAGTGATGATATATAAGGTTAATACCTCTCAGTCTCACTGTTTCTAGTGAAGCATTAGTGTGAGGCTGTAGTATTGGTTTCTGTCTCCAAACCAATAAAGGAAATTATTTAATGGATTCTCTTAGCTGTAGCAATTTCCAAGCAGAAACTCTGATCTCCTGCAACTCAGACTGCACCTGGCACACTGTTAGCCCTTAGATCAGACAAAAAATGTGATCTTGCAGAAGAAAAACTCTTCCAAGGAAAGGTACAATCAATGCCGTATCTGCAGCTACATAGGGAAGCTCACTTTCTTTTCAGCTCTTGCTCTTTTTATCTTTTCATCTTTAAACACACATATATTTCCATTCTTCTTCCATTTCTAGATGAGAACAGTCACCACCATCCTAACTCCACTGCCAATTGTAGCTGGAAGAATAATAATAAAAGCAGCGGGTGGAACTAAAAGTAGCTCTGGCAGGTCCCTTCTTCATTATCCAGGATCACTCCATACCGAACAAACACCCTACCCAAAAATAGCATATTTCTAGCCTTTTTTAAATTAGAATCGAGCAATTTTGTTTAAAGTCTTCCTGTGGGGCATCACCTTTAGCTGATGCTGAGCCTCATTACTGGCAAGGAAAATACTTCCTGCTGCTAATGATATTAAAACATCGTTGGTGTCAAGCACGTCACACAAGCTGGATACACTCTTCTTCAATGACAAAGGAGAGAGAAATTGGATCTCATTTCTCATCAGCATTACTCCAGGATAATAGTACTAATTTGAAATCTAGCAATGAATTTTAAAGGAAGACCATGAACATTGCTATAAAGCTGACTGCCTTGTTAGTACATTAAACTATCCACAGTCAGTCTGGAAATTTCTGAATCATAAAAATATCTTATGCTAAATTAATATGTCACTTGTAATCTAATTTAAATATGAAGCTTGTATTAGCAAAGTTATGGAAAAGTTTTATGGCACACTTTAGGGACTGACTTTGCTGCTGTATTCACTGAGAGTTAATAAACATTGATATGTGTGTACATGTGTTTTGATCTATCTAAATACATACAGACATGTGGCACTATATTAGGAATGGCGAGGAGTACGACACTGACTTAGCTGCATTGTCCAAGACAGCTAAGTTTATTACTCTTAATCTTCTTTTATACACATGTTCAAGAAGGTCTGAGAGGTAAAACTCTCATTGGTCATTAAAGCAACACATCACCAGCATTGGTTAAGTGGGACACCACCCCTTGACTGTTTCCCTAAACAACACCTGCAAAGATTGTTGTCCTTTGCCAAGGACTGCTTGGATTTTTTCTTATGCTTTCTCAGGCCAGAATGAGAAGCCTGTGACTTAGTGTCACACAGGCTCTGTGCTCCCTGTCTGCTTTCAGCATCCATACAGATACACACAAACAGTGGCACAATCGGAAAGTTGTTTAAAAAGTGAGTATCCTGACATTTGTTCAATAGAGAGTAGGAAGTGTTCCAAGTGGAGGTGATTAGGTGCATTGGTGACAAATTGTGCCTATTTTCTAATTCACTTTGATTTATATCTGTTCCAGAGGGTTTCTCCTGCATTGCCTGTGGAGATCTGGCAAGTCTGCAGAAGCCTCCTGCAGGACTAGCTTCCCTTGGAAGTGATGGGTTCAGGTCAGGGGACCTCATCCCTGTGGGACCTGTGGTGAAAAGGCTCTTTTGAAAACCTTTCCCCCTTGCTGTGGGACAGCAGACCCAGAAAGTTCACTCTCTGGGATTCCTCTTTTCCCAGATACGTCACACTTCAGCCTGGAGCCTCTGCCTGTCAGTAAAGCAAGGCTTGGCTTCAACTCATTTAGCAAAGATTTCAGACAACCGTGAGTTTCAGCTATGAGAGAAAACAGTGCCTGCAAAGCATGAGGAGCTGTCAGACCCATGGAGCAGCACGGCTGGGGGAGCTGCACAGCAGACATTGCAGCAGACAAGACAGAAGCTAAAGGGAGTAAATCATCTTTCTGTCTCTTTCTCAGTGTTTGCTGTCCAAAGATGAGACAGTGACAAACCCTGAATAATGCAGGTCAGCCTGTATCCTCGAGAGTATTTTAATACATAAATTTAAATGGTTCTGTATTTGTTGGCTTTTGTTAATTCATGTTTAAATACATTGTAGTCATTTATGTTCCCAGGCTCCTCAATTCCTAAAAGGCTCTAGTGGTGTGGGCAGACTGTGGTGGCAATATTTGATGCTTCAAACAAACAATTCAGATTATCATTTAATCACCAATTATTTGCCAGGCAGATTAAAAGCACAGAAATATTTTTACAAGGAAGTCTACCCTCTCCTTCCCAAGACTTAAGTTTGCAGTCAGTAATGAAGACTGCTTTTTCACAAACTACTTTTCTTAGCACTGCTAATGACACTATTTTTAAGACACTATTTTTAAAGTAAACCACTACAAAAACACTTTGCCACTACTCTTTATGTGCACAGAAACTTGAGCCTTGAGAATACATTTGCATCTTGAAACTCCCCTGATTTTCCTCAACAGTCAGACTGACATTTTTGATTTGAGACAAGGCACAAAACCAAATGTGACCAAGAACTGACACCTGCCTGTCACCAAGGACTGTGGTTTGAGGAGCACCTGACACCTTAATATTATCCAAACACAGAGGAGCTATATGTAGAATGCAGGGTTGAAATTCATACTCATGGTACTCACAGAGTGCAAAAGCTGAAACGTGCATGAAGGCATCTCCATTCCCACTAAGCTCTGAGACCCATATGACACGTAATTAAGGAAAATTAACTCTGTATGCTACGCATACAGAGTTACGGGAAGAGAAACTCAAACACATGGATGCACACAGCTATACATTTTTCCCCCTCCAGTGTTCCATCCTCTGATATCATGAAACAA